ACATTATCTTGGGTGAAAACATCTGTTATAGGCACCTCACTTAATGGAGTTGGGTTAATTTCACTGATCTGGTTCTTGTTCTTTCAAAGTAAATTTGTGGATTTTTTTTAAATATTCTATTTCTCACTGTTAAAACTAGATACTGCATAGTGGTAACATAATAACCCCCGCATGCAGAAATGCACCAGAACTCAGAAATTATGAGTTCTGAGTTCTGGTCAGAATTATGTTACCACTATGCAGTATCTAGTTTTAACAGTGAGAAATAGAATATTTAAAAAAATCCACAAATTTACTTTGAAAGAACCAGAACCAGATGAGAGACCATCCATGAGGTCAACCAACACATCAAAGACCCCCACCCAAACCACTACAATTTTGGGAAGCATCTAGTAGCATGACATTTATTAGGAATAAAGACTTCTGAGTTCTGGTGCATTTCTGTGTGCATTATGTTACCACTATGCGGTATCTAGTTTACAAAATGGCTGCTCATATTTGACTAAACCAAAGTGAAAACACTTTGGAAAACTTGCCAAAACAGACAGTATTTCTTACAAATAATCTTGAGTTGATTCCAAAGGTTATCTGGTTAGATGTGCACCAATGATTATTTTCTGAAAGTTTCAATAAAATCTGACCAATAGTTCATGAGATATTTTGCTGACAGACAAACAGGGTTGACGTCAAGAGTAAATGTCAAAGTTTTCAGCAGAGATTTTGCAAAGTGTGTATTTCTTGGAGTATGTGTTGGTGGTGATGCTCAGCTACTACCACAACAAACTCTAGCAATAATGGCTAAATTACAGACATAATTAGGGCTCGCCAATTCAAATGAATAAGAGAGCAATTTTCCTCTGCCTCTATTAATTTGAATGGCAGCACGTATTGTTATCCACCTGGGTTTCTTAACTGTCTTTATTGGGGCTTGCCAATTCTTTTGAATGGTGGCACCTATTGTTATCCACTTCTCAAGGTTTCTTAACTTTCCTTTTTATGAGGTTTGCCATTACAAATTAATGGAGACAAAGGATCTCTTAATTTATTAAAACTTGCCAATTCAAATGAAGGTGAGAGCAAAGGCCTCCATTCATTTGAATGGTGGCATCTATTATTATCCATCTGGGTTTCATAACTATCTTTTTTAGGGCTTGCCAATTCAACTGATTAAGGAACACTGTGTAATATCCAGTGACATCTAGTGGTTGAGGTTCTTTGTTGCAGGTATTTTATTTATAGTATCTCATCTGCAGCAGAATAATGAGAACAATAATCAATCTGAAACCTAAAAATAACTGTTTTACTTTCAATATGGAGTCAACTCTCTGTTAGTAAAATATTTTATGAAGTACTGGATGAATTTTAATCAAATTGTGTTTTCGAAACCCTTGGATGCAACATCCTCTCATAGTTACTGCTTGTGACATTTAGTCTAGTCTCATTTTTTACAGGCGTTTTTACAGTAAATATCAGTTTTCTTCTACGTTACACTATTGTTTACACAATCTACGCAGCCTTTCAACTCTTTCATGTGACGCTTCAGGAAATGGACTCCCACAGATGTTAGTGTTAGTTGTGATCTTTAGGCATCAGTGATGTGAAACAAAGCAGGGGGGCTAAGTTGATTGGTCGGATTTGTAGAAAAGTTGTGGTGGTTGGTCAAAATTAAAAATCTGAACAAATTTAGTTTGACTTGGGTTAATTGAATTTGTGTTAATAGCTGTCTGGGTGGATTGAATAGAATGAGTCTTCCGTGTAACTTTGGTCTGTTTCTTTGTTAGAGTTTTAAAAATATGGAGAGCACACCCAGGAGAATGTTTCAGAGACGAGCGAAGGAGAAGGCAGAAGCAGCTCTGCAAAACTTCGTCTCAGAGGATCAGAGAGACCTGAGTCCTACGCCTGGCTGTCCTAAAGCAGAGGAAGCTGAAACAAAGGAATGGGGTGAAAGTCTGCACGAAAGAAACGATCAGCCGAAAGACATGCTGAATACCTCCACAGCACCTTTACAGGGATCTCAGGATGAAAGTGAGTCTCAAACAACAGATGATTCACCTGAAGAAAGAGGAGAAACTTCAACGATTGATTCACAGGATACACAGACACCAACCAGAGCCTCTTTAGTCCCTTTCAACACCCCTGACTACCGCTTTGAGTGTATTTGTGGAGAACTTGGGATCATTGACTATAAGGCTCGTGTTCAGTGTATGAACTGTCAGCTGTGGCAGCATGCAGACTGTGTAAACTATAAAGTGGAAAGCCTTAAAACCACACCTTTCTACTGCCCTCACTGCCTGGTAGCTATGAAACCAGTGTCCACTGGTGCCACACTCATCATTTCCCCAAGTTCCATCTGCCACCAGTGGGTAGAGGAGATCAACCGTCACATCAGGTCCTCCTCCCTACGAGTGCTGGTACAGTATGCTGTCTCACCTATTTTCCCATTTCTGTCCATTTTCAAAACAGAAAAGCTGCTGCAATAATAATTCACTTTTTTTCCTTATATTTTTTTAAAGGGATCCATGATTAGTTGTAACATTTGACCTTTTTTTGATAAACATTTAAAAATACCGTAAAAATACTGTAGGCTGTTTAGTTTTGGAATTTTTAAAAATAAATATTTTAACACGTTTTATTTACACGCAAAGCATTCTGGGTAAATGTTGACGTGGATAGGTCCTCGGTGCGAGGCTGCTAGCGAGCTATATCCACCCTGAAGGTTAATCTTGGACAATATC